CGAATAAGATTAACATTGTGAATTGCTGCAGGTGTGGGGTAACGATGAATCTGTAAAAACGCATGATAGAATGATACAACTTTAATATATCATCCCGACAGTTACCATACTGATCTTACCATTAGTTTATAGTTTTCCCTGCTTTAAGTAGCATTAACCCACATTTAAACTATTTGGGATTACAGTTAGAAGCATACAGATCGATTCGTTCTTAAATTTTTAATTAAATTTAGAGTGCAAGGATATTTTAAGTTAGTGCAAATCACCACATTTGTGAACAAATATTCTTGGGTATGAAAATCAAAGAATTTAATTTTTTTTCCCTCCATTTCCCATCACATCTACACTTGGTTTCTACATAGGTTGGTTTAGCCGCTGACTAAATTTATATAAAAGCGCTTTAAATTCTTTTGAATTCCTTCTATTAGCTCACACTCTCCTATATATATCTCGTATTTTATTCTCCCTATATATATATCTTGTTATTCATCCACTCAAGTTCAAATACATTTTTGAACTTGTAGTGGATGACACTTTATGTTAATACAGTTTTTTTTTCAAATATTAATTCAGTAATTAAATTTAATTAATTTCAGTTGCATATATCTACCCATAGATGTCGCCAGATAAACTTAAAAAAAAATGAATGAAAATTATTTATTAAAGGACTTTCTGCAATAGAGTGAAAAAGTAGGAATTGACTTAAAAGAATTTTTTTTTTTTATATTACTTGTTTCACTTATATGGGTGCGCAGAAGATCTACCTCCCCGTGGTGCACCTGGTAACACTTTTTAGTGGCTAAAAGATGTGCAACTTGGCATTATTGCTAGATGAATGAACTCTGTTTCAGCATGTTTTGTTGTATGTTTTTTTTTTTTTTTTTTTTTCTTTTTTTTTTGTTGTAACTGTTTATAATCTGCCATTGGAAATAATAAAAAAAAAAATGTTTCACTTATATTATTTCTATTATATGTAGCGAAATAAATACGTAAGTTATATAATTCATCCCCCCCCCCCCTTGCGCGACGCTTGACCAACAGGGCGGGGGTTACATGTCAACCTGTTTTTATTATCCGTCCATCCACCCTGGAACAGAAAGGGAAGGAAAGGTCAAGGTCAAGGTCAGCTTCGATAAGCATTACTCATTGGTTCCAGCAAGTCATGGCATGCTGACTGCAGATTACAATAGCAAATGGCACTGACAACTGGCCTACCGTTTACGGAGTAACAACAGGAAGAAATACCCTTAAACCTCTTCTTAATCTTAATTCATAAATATGTTTTAGAGTTCTAATTGGCTGCTTTAAAGTTAGTAACAAAAATAAAAGATAAGGTTTCTAAAAACTCAAATTAATGTGGTACTAAAAAAAAAAATTAAAAATACTAATAATAAATAAAAGTAAAATACAAAATAAAAGAATTAAAGTTAAGTTTGAATTCGGTACAATTAGGGACCAGTACAACAGTCCGGAAGAAAAAAAAAAAACAGGATAACAGAAATTAAGACTGAAGAAAATACAAACAGGAATCGAATTTTATAGAATTGTATATTTCCGATTGTTGCCATACCGGTCTTATTAAATTGCATTTCAGTTACGACAGAAATAGCACCAGTGAGTAAGACAGCTGCCAAACATTTTAAATAACTAAAAAAAAAAAGAATTTCTTTGAATATTCACTAAACTAATAATGGTTATATTTACACAGACAAAAAATATAAGATTGACTTATTCACCAAAATTACAGTTTGAATTAAATAGACCAAATTATTAATTTCCGTTTTTCCTGTATTAAGTAACAACATAACCTATATTTAAACTATTTGGGATTACAGAGATCCACATAGATCGTTGCTTTTAAATTATTTATAAATTGTTTCGAATTTGAAAACTATTTCATGTTTTAAACGTAACGCAATTTATATTATGTATAGTAAACAAATTCTAATTTTAGACTTATTTTTATTGTAAAATCAAATAAAATAATTTCAAGGTCAATTTCCACTATTATAATATCGAAATGTATATCAGTTAAGAGAAATAGGACGAGAAGTTTATTTGATTTAGTCCCTAAAATAATAATGGTTCTATTTATACAGAGACAAAAAAATAAGAATAATTAGACTTATTCTTCAAAATTACAACTTGAATTAAATAGACCAAATGATTAATTTTTTTAAATTTAAAAAAAAAAAAATGAAAAAGTGTAATGAAATAATTTACTTTCTTCTACTAAATGAAATTTAAACCTAAAATAATGTTTAAAAAGGCAAAACGAAGAACTCCGCATAAATGAAAATGATCACCAGAATCAATAAAAGATGAAATTTTATTTATACACAGGAGAAATACAATTAAAATTTCAAAACATTTTAAAATTCAGTTATATTTTTTCTGATAACAGAACTGCAGTTACTATGAGCAACGGAAACGATTCATTTCCATAAATTTTAATTTAAAATTCCATTTAATTATATAAAAATTTGGTACAGAATTAAAAAAAACTAATTTCAAACAAAAATTTGTTTTAAAGTTTTCTTAACATCTTCGTCGTTCAATTAGAATTGATTATTTTTCAAAATATTCATAAAATAATAACTTTAATAAAATCGAAAAATTTTAACTTGAAAATAAACTGCCCATGTAAAACACACTAACAATATTCAAATTTTCAAAATGTTTATATTCAATATTTTTTTTTTTTTTTTTTAAAAAATAAAAATGTTTCACTAATTAACAACTTGACTCGATAATTAACAAAATAAGCAATTTGATAATTAAGAATCTTCACAACAGAGATACGTTAATCTGAAACTACATAAAAACTCAACAACAAGAACTGCTGAACAATATCAGTCAAATACATAATTAGTAACCAATTCAAGAATTAAGTTTCAAGTTCATAAAAGTTAAAAAAAAATCTTCATAGAAGACATTTTGTTCAGAAAAAGCTACCAAGACTCATAAAAAATTATACTAATTGAACTTGAGCTTAAAAATAAACGGCCCATGTAAAAACACACCAAGAATATCCAAGTTTTCAAAATGTTTGTATTCAATATATATATATATATTTTTTTTACGAATAAAAAATTAGTAAAATATTTCATCAATTACCAACTTCATTAGATAATTAACAAAATAAACAATTTGACAAGAATCGTAACAGAGACCTATTTATCTGAAATTACATAAAAACTCAACAAGAACTGTTGAACATTATCAGTCAAATACATAATTAGTAACTAATCCGTTACGAATTAACTTTCACGTTCTAAAAGTTAAAAATTCTTTTCTATAGAAGTAATTCTATTCGGAAAAAGTAAAAAAATATACTAATCACACTAAATACTAATAAATTTAAAAAGTTTATCGTAGAATGAATATCCACACTTACCAGTAACTGTTCTGTAAAATGGAATTTTGTAGACTTCTAAGAAAATCTGCCAACTTTCGTAACTCGACAGTGCATTAACCGTTGTCAAGCCAGAACTTGCAAATCATTTTAAAAGTCCGAGTTTGTTGTTACAAGTTTGTGTAATCCCAGAGATCCAAGACACACGTGGAAACACAGAACGACTTTGAGAGCAACCGCGCGTTCGAACGTTCCAAGATGGAATGACTCAGTTTTGGAGGGAACCGTGATTTGGTGTTCCAGTTAACTCGTGGGGCACTCTGTGGGCAGGGAAAAGTAGGGAATTTTGGATGGGGACTTTTTTTTTTTTTTTTTCTTTTCTTTCTTACTCTGTGGAATTACAAAACGTTGCGTAAATTTTTTTTTCCCTTGCATTTTCTTCTTTTTCTATTATATACCCTATATTTTTATTTTATTCTTAATTTTTTTTTTCATGGAGCGGATATTTTTTTACTGTGGGGAAGAATTTTTTTAGAAGTTTGAGAAAAATTGTTAAAATGTAAATAATATTTTAGTAATGAATCACTGGGTGATTTTATCGTTTGTTAGAATAAATTAAATAATAATGATAAATAAATAAAAAAAGAAAGAAAAAGAACAGTGTGTAAAATAAAAAATATTTCATTTCTTTTTCAGTCACGTGATGCCTTATCTTATCTTCGTTTAACAGTAATAGGATTCGGGGATAAATTAATCTCGAACCATATTACTAAATGATTATTTAATTAATCTGGGTAATTAACTATTTAATCCCTACTTGATAAAAATCCTGACTTGAAGAAAATGCTACAACGAAATTCAAAAAATTGACAAATGCTACATTGAAATTCAAAAATTTGGGCATTAGTAAAAAAAATTGATATCATATTTTAAAAATATAAATAATTGAATAACTTATTACATTATAATTTGTTAATTCGAATCCCATTTGAGCATAAATAAGATCCCTTAATTTCCAACGTATAATTAACCTATTTATTTCAATGTGGATCTGTGCAGATCTACTAAATGTTGGATTTAGAATGTTTTTCGGATGAAAATAAATAAATGAATAAATTTATACGAAAGATATAATTTAAAAATATTAAATAAATCGCATACATATCATATTCATTTGATTTAAAAAATATTCTTCCATTATGTTTTGTTTCTTTAAGTGAAAATATCAAATAAAATGTAGATAAACAACACATGCTCATTCGAATTAATTATTAGCACTATACTTGTAATCCTTGCTGTTCTTATTATTAACACTATGCTAATTATTTAACTATCATTTATTATTATTATTTAAATGATTAATTATGCAAATTTAAACTATATTTTCTTACTAGTGAATAACAATGTTACTTTAAAATAACAAATATATTTTTAATTTCGAATATATTTAATTTAATTTGCATTAAAATAAAAATAATAAAACATGTCGTATTTTTTTTCAATTTAAATATGATCTATCTAATAAGTACGAACAAAAATTTACTTTTTGAAATATTATCACATGACTTTTGTTGCAAAAAATAATTCGAAATTTCTTTTGAAAAATTTAAATTCACATTTTATTTATTTGATTCCAAAAGAACTCTTCCGTAGAGCCGGAGTCGAACCAGCGTCCTACGGATGCCGGCAAGAATATCCTCTACAGTCCACCGCTCTGTAAACTGAGCTATCGATGGATGGCGACTGTTCCTAAATAAGAAGTTACATTTTAAATTTGGAAATAATGCATATGGCAGTTTATTTAGTCCAATTTTAACAATATTGATAGCTTTTTGTGAATGTTTATTTCTTTGCAGAAGACAAGATAGCTTTTTTTGGACCTCGCTCCTCCCAATAAACCACATACAAACAGGAAAACTGCGTGTCTCCTCCCGTTCCAACCCGAGTCGTTATTTCATCTCATCAAAGGGGTTCTCGTGGACCCCAGTTATTACTTCTGTCACTCAAAACCTAAATTAGTAGGTACTAATTTAGTACCTACTAATTAGTAGTTAGGTGCGCTAATTACTAAATTAGTAGGTAAGGGCTCAGTGTGCATTATACAGGGGGTAATAATTGAAATCCCCTTTTCAAAATGCTCTAAAAAAGAAACACTCGTCACAATGAGTTCAAATTCGAACAAGATACCGGAAGAAGGGGAAACGGTACGGCATCCAAAAAAAAGTTCCACCGATTTTTCCATCCCATTGGGTATGACCTTGTCGGGGTGGATGGGCTTTCCACTCACAGTGTCACAACTATTGAATGAGTTGGAAGTCATTTTTTCCGTCCAAAAACCGAAACAATTAAGCGTATTGAACACTACAGTGGGTTTAATGTGCATCTCGTGCCAATACTCATGCCAAATGTAATTTCTATTCAAAATATCACCCTCTATTAATACCCTTTAGAACTCTTTTTGATGCCGTACCGTTCCCCCTTCTTGGAGTATCTTTAGTTTAAATGTGAACTCATTGATGATGATTTGAGTTTCGGTGAAGCTCCGTGGCTGCGCAACAGCCGTTAGCTTCTATCTTGGATTGTCCATGTGAACTCATTGTGACGAGTGGTTCTTTTTCAACAGCATTTTGAAAGTGGGACTTTAAATATAATCACCCTGTATTTCCCGGAGCTGTACTTTGCTGCTCAAATTACCTTGACCCAAGATGTTATCTTTAAATTACTATAGATCTTTTGGGCGTTTTTCAATTCGAAATAGAGGATAACTTCGGATAACGAAATTTATTTTTGAATTAAATATTTGAAGGACTCAATTATATAATGAGGGGCCTGATAATTTTCCAGGTGTTTAGATCCTTCTGTTAAATGAGTGAGATTGATTTCTTAATTGAGGGAGTTGGGTTCGAAACGTAACTGATCAGAAGATTCGAGTGTCTATGCAGCGGCTGAGCACAATAAATACATGGTTCAAAAAATTGTACTTTGGATGTGGCAGGGCGAAAGAAAGGTGCGAATTTCCCAAGTGCCGCCTTTGGGGATAGTCATTCCTTATTGTAAAAGGCATTTTCTATATGTAGTACTGCAGGGCCCTCATAATGCATCTTGAGACCAACTGAATTTACTACATATATGTGTCTTCATTGACGAATGCGGCCTGATGGCCAGTCGGCAAGCGCTTTAGCCTCTGGTACCAAAGACTTCACTTCGAATCCTAACGGCGGCATGGAAGTTTGTGAGTGGTTCGGAATCCACTTTTTAAACTGTAGGTCCCTGTCTAATTAATCTGAAGTGTGCACAAAATGACCGTAGAGCGACAAACCACACCATTGATGAATAGCCTCATGTTAAGTGATTAATTTTAATGGCTCAAATATATAATGAGGTCCTTGATAATTTTCCAGGTATTTAGATCGTTCTATTGAATGAGTGAAATTGATTTTCTTAATTGATGGAGTTGGGTTCGAAACTGATCAGAAGATTCAGGTGTCTATGCAGGGCTGAGAACTATAAATACATGACTCAAAATATTGTACTTTGGATTCGATTATTATTATCTACATATGGAAATCGAATTTTTTTTTAAAATTCAATAACTTATTTTATCTCATGATTATGCAAATCACGTATTCTGTAATTGGTTCTCTTCCCACCATCCAATCTCTTCATCATAAATAACAGATGTTCTTCGCCTATGCAATTTTACATTGGTTTTTAAATTTATATTCCAAACCCGTATTAGTTTTGTTGATAGTACGAGTTATTTTCTTTAATCTAGATATTAAGAGTTTGTAATTTGATAGTTTTTTTTAAATCTAGATTAAAAGCTCTGACTGATAGATGGCGAATTACAAGGAGTGCTGCAGTGATTTAAGCAACATTCGATGTGAACAGTTTCTAGATTTTATGAAGCAACAGCACCAGAGAAGAGCGCGATTTTTCTCTGTAGATTTCTCTGCTGTTTTCAATTTCAAACTCGAATGGAACAAAAACTCTGGTTTCGTGTATTGTGAGGACATGGATCCATCTCTTGCACATGACGTGAGATCGATGAAACACACAGCCGATTCTTCTGTAGCCGGAAAATCTGTGTTCTCTTTCCATAAATTTGAAGATTTCTTGAATTTCGTAAGATTTTTGTGGTGCTTGACAGACAACTGCATTGACCCCGCTGACGTTCAAATACTGAAAGCGTCAGTCGATATTGGATCATTTGGAAACAAGATTGTTGAAATATTCTCTGAAAAAGAACTTTTCGAATTTCCAGAATTGGATTGATTCAAGCGAAAGCGCCATTTGAAGAGAGTTTCAAGTGGAGATTTTTAAATATTTTGTACATGATAAAGTGTATAGTTTATTCGCATGTTAGATTTATTTATTGTCATTATTTCCAGTGTTATGTTCTGACTGTGCCTTTTGAACTAGGTCTGGAATGAGTACTTAATAAAATACTATTAACATACCTTGTTTGTTGTCTGGAGGTTAGTCGCTTGAAATGTCTATTATTTTTAAACAAATGTAGTTTTTATATGGTACTTGTACATAGTTGGGAAAAGGATTTTTTTTTAAATTTTTAACAATTAACAGATTTGAAAGCCTTTATTTCCAAATAAAATAGAATACACAGTGACAAATTCAAGAATACAATGAAGGGGGTCTGCTGCAACAATGGGGGTGAGCAATGACGATGACAAATTGCAAATGCAGGTAATTTACGAAGTTAGGAAATTGCAAATGCAGGTAATTTACGAAGTTAGGAAATTGCAAATGCAGGTAATTGAAGTTGGGAAATTGCAAATGGACTTACGAAGTTAGGAAATTGCAAATGCAGGTAATTTACGAAGTTAGAAATTGCAAATGCAGGTAATTTACGAAGTTAGGAAATTGCAAATGCAGGTAATTTACGAAGTTAGGAAATTGCAAATGCAGGTAATTTACGAAGTTAGGAAATTGCAAAAATGCAGGTAATTTGCGAAGTTGCAAATGCAAAGGAAATTGCAAATGCAGGTAATTTACGAAGTTAGGAAATTGCAAATGCAGGTAATTTACGAAGTTAGGAAATTGCAAATGCAGGTAATTTGCGAAATGCAGGTACGAAGTTAGGAAATTGCAAATGCAGGTAATTTGCGAAGTGAAATTGCAAATGCAGTAATTTGAAATTGCAAATGCGAGGTAATTTGCGAATTTTGCAGTTAGGAAATTGCAAATGCAGGTAATTTGCGAAGTTAGGAAATTGCAAATGCAGGTAATTTACGAAGTTAGGAAATTGCAAATGCAGGTAATTTTGCGAAGTTAGGAAATTGCAAATGCAGGTAATTTAAATGAAGTTAGGAAATTGCAAATGCAGGTAATTTTTTACTTAAAGCGAAATTGCAAATGTTAGGAAATTGCAAATGCAGGTAATTTTAGCGCAGGTAATTTACGAAGTTAGGAAATTGCAAATGCAGGTAATTTGCGAAGTTAGGAAATTGCAAATGCAGGTAATTTGCGAAGTTAGGAAATTGCAAATGCAGGTAATTTGCGAAGTTAGAAATTGCAAATGCAGGTAATTTGCAAATGCAGGAAGTTAGGAAATTGCAAATGCAGGTAATTTTGCGAAGTTAGGAAATTGCAAATGCAGGTTAAGAATACAAATAGAAAAAAGTTAAGAATACAAATAGATAAAGCGAACATTGTTGAACAAGCCAAGAAATTGTACATTTGTACAGTAAAAAACCTCTAAAAAGGAGAAGAATAAAAAAAAGTATCGTTAGATAAAAGTTAAAATAAAATGAAGTGACAACAACAATCGATGAGTATAAGGAAGGTAGAAGGGTTGAGTGCTTAGGGAGGTTGAAGATTTACTTGTCCGTCTTTTCAAGGTATCACGCACGATTTCCACCTGCTGCTTGGGAACGAAAGAATTTCCTGCGATGACGTTGACTTTTGGTAATAAGTGCGCCCTTATAGCCTGCAGATTTTGCCACGGTGTGAAAAAAAGAATTGGTAACCTTCCAAATATCATTGAAAAGAGATTTGAAAGTTTCCAAGAAGTTTTAATTCCTAACTCCCCGTTACTACAGTCCATGTTGGATCAGGGCCTCCATAACAAAGCTGTCTGTCTCGAGTTTTGGCTTTTCAATTTGTGATCTTTAGGTTCTTCAGATCCTTTCCACATCAATCCATCTTTTATTTTTTTTTTTTTTTACCTTTCCGTTTTTTCTTTTGGCCCTGGAACTTCATCTTTAAACCTCTATAATCGCCCATTTTCTGTATATGTCCTAGCCATTGAATTTTCTTTGACTTTATATAATTTATGATATCCTTTTTTTTTCAAACAATTCTGCAATTTCATGATTGTAACGCTTCCTCCAAACATCACCCCTCTCTGATTAGCCCAAATATAGCTCTTAAGATTTTCCTCTCTCCAGGTTATCAACATCTACCTATATTAGAGTTAAGGTCCATGTCTCTAACCTATAAATAAGTGTTGGTCGGATTATAGTTTTATACGACCGGTACTTCATTTTCAGTGCTATTACTTTAAATCTTATTTTTTTTAAGAGCAAAAAGAAACTGCGATTTTCTTTTATTTAACCTTTTGTACTTTCTGGCATATCAATATTTTCGGTGACAATTGAACCCAAATATTTAAACTCAAATTTTTTTTTCAAACTTTATCTTCTCATTTATCTTTAATTCAGTATTTGTATCAATTCCTCTACAAAGTTTAGTCTTTTCTATATTTATTTCAGACAAAA